ACTCTGCTTGAATTGTTTCGCGGCAAATGTACTCGGTTCTCGACTTGAGCTCGGCAACAAATGTGAACACCGGGGGTAAGAACATGCTTCGGCCGTTATGTAAGCTCACGCGTTTTGTCGCCAACAAATGACCTCGTCCGCCACTGACCACCGCGGCCGTTCCCCTGCGTCCCCGCCGTCCGGCACGTCACGGCCAAACCCACGCGCGCCTTTGTTCCGGTTTTCGCCGCCGCAGCGTGGTTCCCAGAGGGCCACCCGCACATTCCAAGTTTCGCCAACGCGCCGTTCGCCGTCCCCCGACCCTGAGACGGTGTCACAAATAATTCCATTGCCACGGCCAAACCCACGCACACCTGTATTCCAGTTTTCACCGCCGCAGCGTGGTTCCCAGAGCGCCACCCGCACATTCCAAGTTTCGCCACCGCGCCGTTCGCCGTCCCCCGACCCTGAGACGGTGGGCCACGACCACATCGTGGACCCGCAACCGCTGTTTCCGACACGCCGCGTCCTTCAGCCTTCCCCACCGCGCCGTTCGCCCAGCCCCGACCCGGGCGCACCGCGGTACTACATGCCAGGCCGCCCATTTCAGCCTTCTCCCCCACCGCGCGGTACGCGGCTCCCTGACCCTGACACCATCACTCCCGACTCCATCCAGGACATCGACCAGGGATACGTGGTCCTCTTCTGCGGCCTTGACGTCGACTGCGAACACTTCTCGGTCTCAGACGCGCTGTCAAAAGCGCCGCACCCGCAGATCCTGCCCTCGCCTCCCTCGCCGACCCCAGAGCCTCCACACAAGCGCCAAAAACGCTCTACGGGCTGCGGGACACGCGTTCACACCAGCGCCCGCGCAGCGCGCCACTGGCGCGGCTCCGTTTCAGGCGCGTGTCCGGACGTCGTCCCTCTGGAGCGCGCCTACTTTGCGCCAGAAGCGATCAAGCACCTGAACCTGCACGAGAAAAATTGTGGGTGCGCGATACGCGGGGCTGGATGTAGAGTTTGGTGCGTCTCGCGTCTCCTCCATTCATTCCGGTTCGACTGCTTCTTCTCTGGCGCTGAGTCCGTCTTTGTATGTAGCGGAAACCCACTCGGCGCACTAGAGACGCGGTGCGAGCAGCATCCCAGCTACGATCCCAGCATGGCGTACGCGTTCCTGCCCTGCGCCGTCTCGCCGCCGCTCCAACCGTTTCGGCGTCCGCCTTCGCCCCCTGCACCTCCCACTCGCCCGCCCCGCCGCACCGCGCGAATGAGTACGGGTGGGCGGCCGCCGCGCCCAGCCGCAGTCGCAGCCGCAGCCAACGACGACGACTTGTCGGAAAGTTCGGAATCGAGCGATGAGGACTCGCCGCCGCCCCCACGGCGGGAAGTAGCCCAAAGGTAGACGCGCTTCCTCAACGATCACCTGAATACGCTTACCGCTGGGCGTGCGGAGGAGGACACCGGCACTGGCAGTAGTGCGAGCTGAAGTGGCGCGCCGGGGGTTGGGGTGGACGGATTTAAATCGCTCGTCTGCGTACCTCGCGATCTCTTCGTGGACTGGTCGGACGTACGCCTTATAATCAGTACTCGCTATTTCCTTTACAGTGCCCCGGAATCCGACCTACATACCTTTTGAGCTGCTGCCACAGTTGCGGTGCAGCCCAACCCTTCTTGGTGTGGCTCGGGAAACTCGTCTCGTCAAATGCACCAGTACTCTCTGACCCGATCTATCGCTCTTGCTGCTAATGACTTCTCGGAACGTTCATCATCTACGTCGCACGCTCGCTGCAGCCTTTTGGCATATTCCTCACCCACCGCTGCTCACTCGTGCTGGAATCTCGTTCTCGTCCCTTCATTGAATTTGTGTCGGCTCAACTTGAAGTCGCTGAGCCCGCTGTCAGTTGAAACTTGATTATCGGACGTCGGGAAATCCATTCGTGTTTGCCCCTCGCCACAACATTCAATTGCGCGCAGAGGCACCAGACATGATTTTTTGGCTTCGCTTGCCTATCATGAAGGCAGACTGATCGGGTGTTGGGCTTGCACCCACATGTTGGTGCCAGTAGCTTAAGTGCGAGGCTCATAAGTGCCAGCAATGGCGGATAAATGGTCCTTCCATCGTATCAGAGACGGCGTCCGGGACGAGAACGGGTATGATACGCACGCGTGGCATTGGTCTCGCGTCTTCCGCATCGCGTGTAGTACGCCGACTCCGTTGCAGTCTGACTCCGGCGGAGCGTGCGGGAAGGCGGGAATGGGAAGGGCGAGCCGGCGCGCGGGGGGCGGAGTGCGAGAGGGCAAGGAGCGGCTGCGCGAGAGGCGGGGCGGGGAGGGCGGGGGCGACGATGGGGGTTGGAAGAGGCCGGGGACAGGGTGGGCAAGGCCGGTGAGGGCGCAGGGAGCGAAGAGGCCCCAAAGTGGGTGGATGAGGAGCCTGGCGAGGGGGTGTCAAGCGAGGCGCAGGCGGAACCGCTGCCGGAAGTCCGCGGAGCTCGGGCGTCTTGTAGCCTGGCCGCTGTGCGGGAACCACGCCCGCGCTACTTATTCGCTGTTTATGCTCCCTTACCTCCCTTGCTTGCTTGTGCATTGCATTCTTGTATGTTTTATTCCCTCAACCTGTAATTTTTGACCCCTCACCTCCTCTCGCTTATTTTGCTGTACAGCGTTTGCGTATAATTTTCTTTCCTCACTCCTTAGCGTAGATCTAATATTCGAGTAGTTTTCCGTGCAGCTCACTTTACACGTAGTCTCAATCTATATATGTTCCGGCATTATTCAACATCCGACTCACATCGTCAAGTACCAGTGTTTGAACCTGGAGGAGACTTCAGCGGCGCTACCTCTGCTTTCCGCCACCTTTTCTACAGCATCGTCCTTATGTATACCTCTCATCCAGACATATCAAGTACTGAAGAAAAACAAAGGTGGATGATGAGTTCGATCAATGCGGACGCGGGGAGTCAAACCCCGATCGACTGCTTTACAGTAACTTGGATACAACGGACAGTCGCATTTGGTGTAGAGGTGCACCGTGCACTACGTCTGCTTCCTCTCTTTTTTCCTGCGCTCGTTAAATTAGGCTCATTGTGCCGCTATTCTGATCCAAAAAGGTAACGAGTCAGAGCACATGCGGACGCTGGGAGTCGAACCCCGACTTACTACTGCTTTCACTCTCGAATTTACCTTCTTCATTCGATACAGTGGTTTGCCGTACACCATGTCCGCCTCTGTTCTCTCTTCATACATATTCTCTTCTTATCTACACAGTTGAGGCACTTTAACTAAAAAAATAGATGATGGAGGAGTAACGCGGGCGCGGGGAGTCGAACCCCATCATCTGCTTGCAATTCCTTTGTGCCCTGGACAAGGGAGGCAGTGGTGCACCGTGCACCATGTCCCGTTTCCCCATCTATTCCTGCGCTCATCTCCTTCAGATTTCGCTCCCTCTCGCGATGAAAAAAGAGGTGTTACACGGGGCAATTCTATGCGGACGCGGGGAGTCGAACCCCATCAACTGCCTTGATATTGGGTCCTAACTGCTCACAGAATGCAGTGGTGCACCGTAAACCACGTCCGCTTTGTTTGTCTATTCCTGCGCTCTCTAAATCAAGTTCGTTTGAGTCACCGCGTGTCTGATGAAAAAGCCGACGCTCAAAGTATATGCGGACGCGGGGAATCGAACCTCGTTCAACTGCTGACAACCACCATCATGCAATGCAGTGGTACGTCGTGCACTACGTCCGCTTTCCTCCTGCGATTCTCACCCTCTTTTAATCTCAGCGTTTGAACCGTATTGCAATTAAAAAAAGATGACGAGGAATAAGGCGGACGCGGGGAGTCGAACCCCGCTCAACTGCTTGTACTTGCACCTCTGCACCATAGAACGCAGCGGTGCGCCGTGCACCACGTCCGCTTCCTTCCTTTATCCTTAGCCTCATTATATCCAGGCATTTGAGGTCCCTCGATAAGGGGAAAAAAGAATTACCATAGACCTAGGCGGACGCTACTGCTTTAATCTTTTGCACTTCACTCTTGTAGGGAGTGCAGTAGTGCGTCGTGCACCACGTCCGCTTCCTTCCTCTTATCCTCCATCTGCTCTCTTCTGGGATTTTGAGGCTCTGAGAGAAAAAAAAATTCGTCGGAGAAAGATTACGCGGACGCGGGGAGTCGAACCCCGACCAACTGCTTGGATATTTATTCCATGATCCCGGACACTCCGCAGTAGTGCACCGTGCACTACGTCCGCTTCATCCCTCCATTCCTGCGCTCGTTTAATCCGGGTCGTTCGAACCATTTTCCAATGAAAAAACCGCCTCGTATCCAACCTACTTGTGCGGACGCGGGGAGCAACCCCGATCAACTGCTTCAATTGTCGTATCCAAAATCTCACAGAATGCAGCCTGAGCGGTGCGCCGTGCACCACGTCCGCTCCCCGAATCTCATTTTCTCCTTCATCTCATCTAAAACTTTCAGGTACTTTGAGTAAAAGCCCCTGTTTTCCTACTTATGCGGACGCGGGGAGTCGAACCGCGACCTACTGCTTCAGCTTTGAGGAACCCCGCCATTAGATGCAGTGGTGCGCCGTACACCACGTCCGCTTCCTCCCTCTACCCTACTCTTCCTCTCATATAGGGTTTTGAAGCACCCGTCTCACTGAAAAAGTTCGCCCCGGAAATCAAGCGGACGCAGGGAGTCGAATCCCGTCCAACTGCCATGCAATCTTCCTCCAAATATGTGATGCAGCACAGTACAGCACACCACGTCCGGGTCCTTCCTCTTATCGTTCCCTGCCATTATTCAGGTCTTGGGGGTCTTGGAGACAGTTCGTGTACAAAAGTCACGGGGGAAAGCAAGGCGGAGGCGGGGGAGTCGAACCCCGAGACACTGCTTGCATTTAGATCAAATCCCGCCACGGAATGCAGCAGTGGGCCCTGCACTACATCCGCTCCCCCCCTCTATCGCTACTCACTTGTCCCGGCCTCTGAGGCACTTTGAGTAAAACATGGATATTTGGCGAGATATGCGGACGCGGGGAGTCGAACCCCGTTCAACTGCTCAAATTCTTTTCTCCGTTGACCCATAGACTGCAGGAGTGCCCGTGCCCCACGTCCGCTTCTTGTCACCACCCCGCTTCTCTCTAATCCAGACATTTGAGGCTCTGTGATATTTTTAAAAACGGCCATAAAGAAGAGGAAAGGTGGACGCGGGGAGTCGAACACCGCGAGACTCTGCTTGCAATCTCTTCGTACTCCTACCACAGAATGCAGCGGTGCGCCGTACACCACGTCCGCTTTCCTCCTCTATTCCTGCGCTCACTAAATCAACGTCCTTGTGCCGCTTTTCTGATTCAAAAGGCTGACGCCGAGGAGCTATGCAGACGCGGGGGGTCCAACCCCATCAACTGCTTGCAATCCCCTTTTACCAAACAAAAGGCAGGAGTACGCCGTGCACCACGTCCGCTTCCCTCATTTTATCTTACCCTCCTCTCATCTCCGACTTTGGAGCAATATTAAAATGGACACCAAAACAATTAGTCGGGGAAGGGTTACGCGGACGCGGGGAGGCGAACCCGGTCGATCAAGTACTTATATTAACTTCAGAGAAAAACCATGAATTCAATGCACTGGTGGAGCGGAACAACAAACTTGTCCTCTACAGAAAAAAGGGATTGGCCTACAAAACACGAGTGGGGAGGCCCTGAGAAAGGAACGACGGCACCGAGCGGCGAATGGAACTGGCAAGGTGGGTCGGGAGCGCAGTACAGGGCTAGTACGAGCTGAACCGACGCAAAGGACGAGCAGAAACGGGCTCGAACGGAACCGATGCATAGGAAGAGCGGAAACGGATCCGAACACAGAGTACGAGCGGATCCGACGCAAAGAACGAGCGGAAGCGGATCCAAACGCTCTAAATCCGCCTCTAAAAATCTCCAATTAAAGTTCAAATCCGCAATAAATTCCAGCAAGGCAATAAAGTTCGGCAAGGTAAGGTAAGGTAAGATAGGTATTATGCCACGCATTAGAAACTAGGGTACGGTAACCGACACGTCTACAGGAATTATAACTGGTGCTGTACAGTAAGTAAGTTCCAAGGTACAGGCGAGAGAGAGAAGGGAGGGCGGCAAGAATTACAAGAAGGACAAGATGAGTGCTGGGAGCGAGCGAGTGAACGAGCGAGTAAGTGAGCATAAGTAGCGGATAAGTGGGAGCGACAGCGAGTAGGTGCATTCGTAGTCAGAACGAACGCAGCAGCAGTGCGGGATGCGCGAGGAGCAGCGGGGATGAGGGTATGAGCGAGGGACAGGGTGTGCGACGGCGGGGCTACGAGGGCGAATGCGAGGGTGAAGAGGGTGGAGGCATCGAAGCAGGCGGTCAGGCTACAAAACCCCACTGCTCCGCGGGGTGTAATACGCCGACTCCCCCGCACCCGCACCCGTCGCGCGCTCGGTCTGTGCGCGCCTAAGGGTGCGCGTCAAAGGGAAGGGCGATCCCGAGCGAGCCGGGCGAAGCGCGTGAGGGGAAGCGAGGGAGCGGCTGCGGGATAGACGTGTCGGGGATGGCGAGACTGAAGGGGGCGAAGAGGGGGAGGACGAATAGGGAGAAGCGGAGCTGTTGCTGCTGCTGCTACTCGGCGTATCAGGCGTCCCAGCTAAATCGAGCGTCCAATCCACCTCCCCCTCCCCCTCCTCCTTTGACCGACGCGCGCGGAGGGCGGCGCGGCGCGGCGTAACAGGGCGCCCGATCCGCCTCCCACCCCGCCGCCCGGCCTTCCTCTTCCGCACCTCACGCGGCGAAGCGGAGGGCAACGCGTCATAGGACTGGTGCACGACGCGCACAATGCCCTTGGCGAACGGATCGGCGTCCTCCTGCAGTCTATCCTCCGCAGCGGGGCCGTCGATGGTGAGCACGCTCCACGGGCGGTGCGGCCCTGCGGGGATGTAAAAGTGGTTATCGGTGGAGGAGGAGGGGGAGGCAGAGCATTCGGACGAGTCGAAGGAGGACGCGGTGGGCGAGGGCGGGGCGTGCGAGCTCTCGCTTGCAGTCGCGCTTTCCGACCCCGACACGGTGGACGCGGACGCACACGGGGAGGCAGACGCAAGAGGAGAGGTAGTGCGGACGGCGTATGGCGCGAGGCGCTCGTACTGCGCGACGAGGGGGAGGTACGGCGTGAAGGGTTCTGCATCTCCGTCTCCGTCTCCGCGGGCGGCGAAAGGAGGATTGAACGCAGCCGCCTTCGGATTCGCGCGTCGGACGCGTGGCCGCAAGCCCACGAGCGCCTTGAGCCTCGCGAAGAGGCGCAGCACGCGCGACTCCGTCCTGCTCCCCCCGCTCGTCCGGCTGAGATTCAGGCTGAGATTGAGGGTCTGCGCGGATCGCTTGCGCTCGAGCGTCGTTGTGAAAAGAGCGGTGCTGCTGAAGGGCAGGTCGGGCGGGTCGAGAGCCGCAGATACGATGTCTCCGAATTCAACGAGCGAGAAGGGCGGTAGGCGCGAGGACGAGCTCGAGGGAGAGTCCATTCCGAGACAGAAAAACGGGAGAAAGAAGTAAAGCAAGGAGCGGGGAGAGCACAAGGCGAGAAACCGAGCCAGCGAGACCCCGCAACGAATTTATAAGACGCCATGCCAACTTGCAACGTGATGGGCATGGAAGAAGAGAAGGAAGAGAAAAAAATGGACGCGTTGTTTGCGCGTGCTTTGACGTGTTACGCGTCCTTCTCCTTCTCTTCGACGTTCACAGGGAGGCAGGCTTCTTCAATTTGGCTGATTTGGGGTTGATGAAAAAACGTGCAACGGCTCGAGGATGTCTGTCCGGGCGATGGACTGGACGGTGGCGGTCGAGTGCAAGTCAACCGGCGGAAGACACATTCTCCTCCACCGCGACTGGGCGTCTTTGCAGTAGTCCTAGGCCTGTTCGACAAGCTCTCCTCTGGCTCACCCTCCAGAACTCTTCAGAGCTCGCCCTATCCGCCTCGGACTCTGCCCGGTGGCGGATTTTCATCAACACTGACGACATCTAATGAAAAAAGCTGTCGCTCGTTTTGCGTGCCCCTCGGTCCCGACCACTTTGCCCTCAAGCATCGCATAGCCAAGGACAGAATACTCTGGCTGTCCACTGAAATTCGCAACTGAACTCGCGACTGAACGAGGCCTCTTGCAGCGCGCTCTCGTCAGACGTCGGGACAATCCGCCTCCGACCCCGAGACCCCGATTCCGCCGGCCACCTCGGCTTCCACTCCTTCCTGAACACGCTTCGCGAATTAGCCCAGAAGACTGCGTCGCGACCGTGACCGCCCCGAGCGCCGGTTTCCGGGTCCGCGCCTGCCCAATCCGTCTCAATATGTGGAGGGAGGGTAAGCCGGTAGCCAAATTCGGCCGCTCCAACGCTGCTAATGGACGTTAATTAGGACGTAAGTAATTGCACCGGCGTCCAATCGGGGCCAGTGAGCCGAGCTTCGAGAGCTCCGAGCCCCGAGCTCATACGGAGAGGCGAGATCTCCGACTCGGGAGGAGGAGGCGAGATCGAGAGGCCTAGTGGGGGACACAGACAGATTCTAGCGGTTAACCGCAGCCTAGAATCTGTCGCCTTTCAGCATCGCCCTTCACCGCACAGTAGCAGACGTCCACTTGTCTTGTCGGGCGCAGGCAGGCGAGAGGATTTCTTCTCGCTCGAGGACAAGCAATCTTTTCTCGCGGGTCGCTTCCTGTCAACTTCAGCTGATGGCTTTCAATTCGGCGAGCTGACATATACTGAACCGGAGTATGGGGTGAAGGAGGCGGACGTAGTGCACGGCGCACAACTGCATCGAATTTGGGGTTTTCATCGAGTTAAAGCAGCAATGGGGTTCGACTCCCCGCGTTCGCCTATATTGGGTCGGACTTCTTTTTATTCTACAGAGCGACTGGAAAATGATGGTATACGGAGGGTAGAATAGGTGGATGGAAGCGGACGTAGTGCACGGCGCACCGCTGCATTCCATGCGCCAAGGATAGAGAATGAAAGCAGTTGATCGAGGTTCGACTCCCCGCATCCCCTGCCGTCAGTTTTTCTTTTATCTGACTGCCTCAAACGCCTCTACATTTGGAGGGAAAGGATGGGAGAAATAAGCGGACATAGTGCATGGCGCACGACTGCATCCTGTGATTATGTTCTGTGCTGCAAGCAGTTGATCGGGGTTCCACTCCCCGCGGCCGCCTATGTCGGGCCATCAATTTTTTACTCAAAGGTCCCTCAAAGCCCGGATACAGAGAGGGCAAGCATTGGTCAAGGAAAGCGGACGTGGTGTACGGCGCACAACTGCGTTCTATGAGATGTCGTCAAGAAAATTGAAGCAGTTACTGGGGTTCGACTCCCCGCACCCGCATAACTCCTCTCACTGTATTTTTTTATTGGCGGATAAGTCAAGGGATAAGTAAATAGAAAGGCCTGGGTAAGAAGAGTGCAGGAGGGGTAAAGGAAAGCGGACGTAATGCAGGGTGCACCACTGCGAATATTCTGTGAAATGATGCAAAGAGGTTAAAGCAACTGAGCGGGGTTCGACTCCCCCGTCCGCCTTAAATCGTCGACAACGGGTTTTTTCTCACAGTGCATCAAACATTTGGATTTAGCGAGCGCAGGGATAAAGAGAGGAAGCGGACGTGGTGCACGGTGCACTACTACATTCGGTGACCATCCGCTGCAACTTGCAAGCAGTTGTTGGGGTTCGACTCCCCGCGTCCGCGTTATTTCTATTTATCAGCAACTTTTTGAATCAGAGATGCGCCTGAAAGGCGTGCATAGATTGAAGATAGGAACTATGAGGGCAAGCATGTGGTGCACGGTGCACAACTGCGTTCTGTAGGATTCGTCGAAAGCAGTTGATGGGGTTTAACTCCCCGCGTCCGCCTACGACCTCCACCAACCATTTTTTTGCTCGCAGTGCCTAAAGAAAGGCTTGGATGAGAGAGGAGTAGGGAGGGAAGGAGGAAGCGGACGTGGTGCACAGCGCACCGCTGCGCTCTGTAGTAGACCTGGTAGAATAGACATTGCAAGCAGTGAATCGGGGTTCGACTCCCCGCGTCCGCGTAACCTTTCTCTAACCAATTTTTCTTGAGGCCCCTTTTAATATTGCTCCAAG